GCGTTTATTGAAATGCTAACTGCTGTTTTGAACTTTTCTGTTATTTTGTTCGAGGCACGACGTGCTTTATCTCTACCAGTAGTAAGACCACAAAATTACTCTGTAGGTAATTTTTCTAACGACAAATTGTTGATTTTAGTCTATTAAAAGAGTCTGTTGAAGTAGATCTAGCATTTTAAATGAAACCTTTCTGTGATTGTGAATTTCAAGCTGATGTCGAACGTGAGAGGCAGTGTTACATTTCTTGGCAGAGACGGGTGGAAGACTGGAGGCAACTGAAATGTAAAGTCGCCGTACAGAGATTTAAGTAAGTCAGCATTCATATTGTATTTCTTTGGGGGTTTGATCAGAGAGAAGCAAGGTGGAACGTTGTGTGTTCAAACCAAGTATCTGAATGAGGAGGGGGGCTTTGGGATTTTCGGTTTTGCGGTTTTGACTGTTTTTTTGGATCGGTTTTTGGACCAAAAAGGTTCGGTTTTTCGGTTTTGGAGGTTTTTTTCTCCGGTTTTGCGGTTTCCCAGAGGCCCCAATGCCCCCCTCAATGAGGCTTTTTCCAATTTTTAAGTTACATATTTGTATAGCTGCTAGTTTGGCAATCTACATGTATTCGAGCAGATACTGTAATCTTCTAGCGTTTTTTTTTTCGGTGTTGCTGTAACAATTTTCCGATTCTTGTTTGTACCCCTGAGATCACTTGTTCGAAATCGGGCTAGTGCTATCAGTTTGGAGAGGGAAATTGTCACATCCACATGCAATCAAAGTTTCGTCGAAGTTTATGAATTACGAATTAATGAGTTTATACTAAAGCTTTAAATTTTATTTGTGAATGAGGGTATCGTCTCAAGAGACGAGACCCTCATTTGGGAAGACTTCTCGTCTCTGATTCTCGAGACTAGAGTTCAATATCAAACAACAAGTGCCTCGTTTCTCATCGTAAGAGAGGATGGTGACTGATTTTTGAGCGGTGTTTCATGGGTTTTTATCGTGGGCCATGCCAGACTCTGAAGTGTAGACCATCACTTCCGTTGAAATAAAAATGTACGTCTATGATTACCACAAAGAAGAATGCGAAGTTATGTTCGAAAAAGGCCAGAAGAGATCTTTTACCTCTTGCTTTATAGCTCTGTCAAGTAGTTTTCTCCGTTTGGTCAAATATTTTGTTGCTGTGAGAATGATAAAGTCACCTACCCAGATTTACACCTGGTGTGGCTCTAACATCCGTTAGGTACAGGAGTCCATTATAGTGGCAGAATAATCATAATAGTAATAGTAATAATAATAATAATAATAATAATAATAATAATAATAATAATAATGGTTTATTAAACTCTCTTGCAGTAACTTACTGAATTAACGAGTTATGATACAATGAAAACTTAATAAGAACGACTATGTACATTTCTGTATACATAAAGTACAAGTTATATACACCACAAGGAACATACATCACATTTGTTAAAAACACTTAAAAGTTAAAAAGTCTTCGGTGCGCTTCGTTCTACAGGTAGTAACGTTTCTGTAAAGATACAACTGGTCTGATTTGTGTCTGAGGTTATAGGGACAGGTATCGTCTAAGCGTGTTGGTAGAAGAGGATGGAGAGGGTGGTTTGAGTCCTTCATTTTGCACATATACTCTTTACATATCTTATCTCTTCTGTACGCAAGGGTCTCCACCCATGCTAACTCGAGGGCTCCTGAGTAACTATCGGTACATGGGAAAATTATCTTAAGCGCCCTTTTCTGTATGGATTCAATTTTGTCAGACAGATAACCTGGAATGGATTGCCATACTGGTACGGCGTACTCTACAATAGATCTAACAGCGCTTGTATAGACCTTTAATCATGGTACGCCCTTAAGTGCGCCTTACGAATAAATCCCCTTTTCTTTTCAGCGAGTTCATGCAGAGCCCAGCAATTAAAGGTCCGCCAGAACTTAAAAGGAAGATGCAGTTTTTCACTACAGAACAAAAGACACTAAACAAGAAGCGATTGGATCTCCTGGAATCGCTAAGGTTTGTCACAATGACTGAAGGACACAGTGGAATTATTGATTTACTCTTTTTACTAACTCGTTCTTCAATTTTGTGTTTTGAAATTTACTTTTATGATTTATATGGAAATTGATTACTACTCGACTGTTCACTTGAATCCTTGCTGCGTGTACTGTCTCGGATGATCTTGATTCTTTGCCGTGCAGCTCTCAGTTGCAAAACAGGCTCACTAAACGAGCAGCCGTGTCATTTAAAATGCACACCGGCTTTTTCTGCACTGTGCTTTGTTTGCTGCACCTGTCTCATTGCTGATTCTGATTTGGCCACTATTGTTCAAAGGAATATGAGGCCTCCTAATTCCACTAAATCTGCTGTTTATCAATGGAACGCTGGATTGACAGACATATGCCGTCAACTTGGTATGTTCATTCTAGAGTCTTTTGATTGAATGGGTATTATAAAGCCAAAATGAAAGCAATTCACAGCAACCAATCAGCTCAAAGAAAGATTTAACAAGGAGCCAATGAGAAGTCACAGGGAAGACATGCAGAACTGCCTCATGCACGGGAGAGCGTGATAGATCAATCCTTATTTGGTTGTAGTGTGCCCCTGATTGGTTAAACGAGATGAGGAAAAAGCAGGGCAATAGCGAATTATTGTCGACCTCAATGTAAAATTTCTCTTTCTTCCTTAGTAAGTCTGCATTTACTTAATGTTATTTCTGCGGAACTTGCTTAGAATAAGTAGATTTACCTTTGTGGTTTTTACCGGGCCTTCGTTTCTTCTAAAGATGATTGTCACCAAGGAACATGGCAGCTTAAACTCGATATCCTTTTAACCCAGATATTTTTTCCATTGCAAACGTTGTGTTATTTTCAAAATCTTGAGAAGTAAAAAGTTTCGCGATTAGTTCCTTATTCCGGCACTTGATGCAAAAGCGTTTCCAGAAAACCAGGCTGGAATTTCGGACGTCTTGCACGTCTCATACCTTCTCTTTTCTTGTTTTGTGCTTACAGAGGAAGTCCATGCCAGATACAAAGACATTATACAAAGCGAGTATGATAAGGTTATTGACCACTGCATGGACGAAGTCAACCGTGTCAAGGTTTGCTAGCTGTTTACATGTATAGCTACGTCATGGTTTGTCTATCTAACTATCATCTCTCTTCAAATGTTTATGATTCTAAATGATTATCACTAATAATCCGCAGTTTTCCTCTCCATCTTCACTATCTATCCTTGTTCCTTTTTTTTTCTTCATTTTTTTCCAGAAAGTATCTTACGTAGCCACCAAATAATTAGAGCGATTTTCAAAAAAGCAGAAATCTAAAAAATATATCACTGCGTTGTTTCCTGTTTTCAGGAACAGTTTCTATCAGGAGGAATTCTTGACGCAGTTAGAACAGAAGAGGTGACCATCACATCCTACTATTTTTATAAATCAAATATACTTTAAAGTAGCTTGTTAATTTTTACACACAAACGCCGGCTTTGCATAAAACAGTTCGAAAGACGAAGTCTCACAGAAGTCTAACCATTACCGACACGTAGAGCCAACTGCTTCCACCATGGACAACATTTGCAAGACGTTCAACTGAACTTTACTTATTTCACCTAGTATGATTGTTTAAGGACTCGTGTTCACCGTTAGTGTCTTGGTTCTTAACTCGTTTCATATTTCCATCAGGTGATGAATGAATCATTTCTGCCACTCGTTGGTGAAAAGCAAACTAAATTTGAACACGAGATTGACAAAATGGAGGTAACTTGCTATGGCTCATAGAGTTTTGAATTTGCAAACTGAGTTACTTAACTTTTCGTGTCTACTGAAAGACACAGAAGCTTTTTCAAATGAAATTCTTTCCATTTGTAGCGCTCTTTGGAAAACTTGAGCAATTTTCACGTCATGATGATCAAATCTCTGTTCAAGTTTGTACAAGGAGCCGCGCATTTGTGGGACTTACACGAGATCGGGTTGGCTAGACAAGAAAGAAACCTTCAGGTACAACTATGTCGTTTGAAGTTATCGTACAATTACTTGTGTAAGGCTTCTTTTAGGTCGACTGCGGCTGAAACGCGACGCAAAAAAGCGACAGGCTTTGAAGGACGTCTTTTGCGGTGCAGCCATCTTAAAAAAAGATGAAAAAAAAAAAAATAAAGTGAACCCAATTTTTTTAAGGTCGTCATGTGCCTTGCATCTTAGACTTCTCCTTTCTTAACAATCCTCGCTCGTTATTGGCTTCCTCGCGCCGTCAACATCCCGCGTGGGTTATAAAGCGGCCGGTAAACCGATAGAAAGTGCAGTCTTTCACTTAATTCACTGGTTTTTTTTTTTTAATTTTTTTAATATTTTTTATTAAAATATGTGCTCACATCTAGACTTGTACTTTTACAGGAACTGTTGGAGAAGAATCGTAGAGACCATGATGGTGCAAATCAAGTGAGTGCAGATTTTTGACAGAAAAATAAAGCGGCGTGGCACTGTTTTTGACAGCTGGCTTTGAAATCTGGAGGTCCTAGGTGAAACTCCTCTTTTAGGTCATTAATTTGGATTTGTTTCAAGATATTCTCCAGCTCAGCTACTCCACTGCACCTAGTGAAAAGCCAGCTATTCAGTGTATGCCTCCCACCAACACGAATGTTCCCATTTTACGTTCTTTTTTTTTATCTCCTTGCTTATTTTCTTATGCTCATTAGTTCATCTCAGTCGAAGTAACGTCTGGGGAAATCTGAAATTTTCAGTTAACTTGAAACCTTCCCATCTGACAGTGCAGGCATATTTGGTGGAGTAGGGAGGGAGTCTTTGGTAACCAAACGGACCATCGTTACACTGACGGGACGTTTGGTTCCCACGACAAAACCCTTATCCGTCTGACAGTGTTAGTCGAATACATAAGATTCTAAGCCGCAGGGAATTCATTGAGAGCTAAGGATCACGGAGGTCCATACATATATGACACCTGTGGTACAGGACATACCGCATGGATAAGAAATGCTGGAAATTGTTCCCTGCGTCATTCAATAACATCCATAGTGTGATGGTCAAAACTGAAATTGTCATTTCGTTTCATGCTGCCATAAATAATTTTCGTGGCAGAAGCAAACAAATAAACAGAAAATGGATCGAAATCCATCAATTGCAGTTGAGGAACATGGCCATTCGAGCCCCATAAAAATGTTTCCCGTATGATCATCTGCCAAATGGTTTTCACTGATGCATTTACATTTCCATGGTTCACTTGTTATTGAGAGGCGCAGTAGTGTAGAATATAAGTAGGATACCATTTTCTTTTACGTTGTGTCATTACCGTTATTAGGTAAAAGAAGCCAATTTGGATATCATCATGGACAAAATGAGACAAGATTCAAGTGAGCAGGTATAATTCCCTAAATCTAGAAAAATGTTTTAAGTACGAAAAGAAACGTATTTACTCTGTTTCGTATTGTTAAAGTCTCATTCATTTTTTACCCCTGTTAGACACTAAAATATAGCTTGGAAAAGGCGCTTTCAGCTCTGGATGAAATAAAAACACTGTAAGTACGAAAAAAAGCACTGCTACTTTTGATCCCTGGTTGTCAATTGTTATAAATTTCTACGACTTTTCAATTGCAGGTATAACGATTTTCACACCCTTCAAATGCGGACGTCAAGTTCTTATTCCGATTTAGTCAACGAAGAACTGACGAAATATGACGGTGAAGTGTGCAAGTATTTTCAAGTGGACAGGAGACCATCAATGGTCAGTTTGTTGGAGAAAATTTGATGTACAGAATTGATTTTTTGCAACTTCTTTTTTTTGTTTTTTTACCGGAACGAAAGCAAATCAAAGTCGAAGCTGTTTGGAAACACACCGAAAGTTATTACGCCAGCCCCAGTTGTGCTGAGATAAGCAATGTGACTCACCGGCACCTGCAGCTAGTAGTTCTTTGCTTATTGATTTATTTCATCTGTGACGGCTCTTCTTAATTCATCAGCATTAATTTTGGGAATCCATTATAACATTACCAAATTAATATCAGTGATTGAACCTTTAGTTGTACATTTAGTTGTACAATAAAATCAGTTACTAACTCTGATTTTATTGCAGTCTGAACCAAAACCAAAGAAGAAAGATTTCAATTCGGGGAAACCAGAACAGAGCAAGGCAAAGAAGGTAATCGAAAAAATAAGACAAATTTATCTTTGATGATGTAGTCTTATCGTCCGGGACAAGGTAGTCATGAAAAGTACTGTTGTTGCTGTCTCGTATTTAATCGGGTTTGAGGGACGAATCGTTGTGTGCCTCTTTGTTCCTTCTCATCTTTCTAGACTAGAGATCAGTTGGGAAAGATTGGGTCGAGTGAGCGCCAGGCGTCAACTTTCTTCCCTATCAAAAGTATTTTATTTATTAGGTCATTTACTAGTTTTTAACTTGTCCATAACTCACTTTGTTTGCTTCCCAAATCTTTTCTAAACGACCTTTGTAGGAATCCTACAGCCCCCCCCCCCCCATTCTTCTTGCACAAAGATTTCTCTCCCTCATATGTTGTATTCTTGTATACTTTCTGTTGCTGTGTAGAAAACTACTCCTGCGCAGTCTATCGAAGATGTACTCACAACCTCGAATGGCACCACGTTCTACATTCTAGTGGAGCCAGGTGAACACGGCCTTCTAGGGAGTCCGGAGAGCATTAAGAGTATGAAGACGTGTATAACCTTTATTACGGATACACAAGGTATCAGTTGACAAGTGAAAGCTATCACTGAGTGTGTTGTACGCTTTATTGTTGTTTGCGAAGGGTTGGGTACAATTTCATTTAATTTTGATACGAAGTCAAACAATACATTTCAAATAAAATATTTCCCCCATGTATACTTATAAAGAAGGAAAGCATTCTGGTGGGACGTGAAGATTTCCACATGAAATTCAATTCCAGATGTTTGGCGTGTGAACTTCTAGATTGTCTCTAGGAGTCCTGTTCTCGTTGAGTGCATGGTCCAGAACCAACACTAACCTTAACTGTTTTTTTTCTGTTATTACTAAATCTGAGAAACGCTCATAGCTTCTTGGTTTTACAACCCTTGACCCTCCATATGCGAAATGAAAAAAGCAACAACAATACCGATGATTTTTCTTTTCCTCTGTAGAAGAGTACGAAGAAGAAGACATTTTACCGCCTTATATTGAGGCCATCGTGATCAAGGAAGAACTTTTCTTGGATCTTAGAAAACAGTAAGCGATTGACAAACCAATTCTCCCTATGAAAACTATCTGTGGTTTCTCAAACGATGCAAAGAAGAGGAGGAAAAAATGGTCGTTAAGTTTAAACGAAAAGTGTAGGCGGAATTCGGGACAAATCAGAAGTGTGAGAGAAAGTCTGCTTAAGTTCTGTAAGAATATTTTTTAGAAAACGAATTTAATGAATGGCTGGCTCTTTTATGTGCCTCTTTTATGCGTTGTTTATGGAGACATTTAAAATGTTAAGTTGTGGTTCATAAGTTGAATGTAGTATTCTGATTGGCGCGTAATTAGCGCAATTTCTGTTAAGGCGAAAAGGGGTCTTAGGCGTGTAGAAGAGAAAAAAAATGAATGCATAAACGAATGTGGTTGGATACATTAGAAGGGTGCGTTTCCAATTTGTTCCCTTTTCGTAACGGTCAGACATATGAAAAATACAGAGAGTAGCGCTAAGTTGAAGCGAGGAAATAGCAGGTTCTAGTTTTCTATTTTATTGCATTTCAGCATAAGAATGGAGTTCTTGGAACATTTGGAGGAATGGAAGATTCAAGCCGTGGACAGAGCAAATAGTGTTGTAGCGGCTAAGGTGAGTAGAATGAATGGATATTAGTCTTTCAGTTTTAAGAATTTTCGGTAGTTCCGTCGTTAAGGTGTGAAATCTGCACAGGGGTTCTTTGTCGTCCTCTCTCTAATTACCCAATGATGCGTGTTGTGTGAGGAAAACGTGTGTAGTTCAGTCAGCAAACTCTGCAACCTTTTCTAAATCTTCAGTTGCGGACATCAAAGACACTCCTGTACGGAAACGTAAAGATAGGCGTAGCTTCCTCGACTTTTATCCTTTCATGAGGTGACTAGTTAGTGTCTTTTTTGGTGAACTGGCATGATTTTTTTGTCCCCCTTCGTAGAACTATTTCTGATCCCTGGCATGTGTTACCAAACGCATCAGATTACTTTTAAGACCCAACATGACTGCCGAAAGATCTTAATGTGAAAGAAGAATGTGAATGTGTCTGGTCCGCTCTTAGAGCACATTTTGATTTAGCGTTCTAAAACTTAAAAGCAAAGTCATGTCATCGGCCAAGGTGAAGAAAGGTTGATATCCCGAGAAACGATCAGAGATCAAAGTGTACCTACACGAGCGCGACCTGAGATGCAAGAAATCTCGATTATTAAGTCGCGATTAATTGATGTGTAGCGAGTTCTATAGACAAAGCGCAGTGAAACAGAACTAATGCGCACAAGCCTGACGCAAGCAGGACTCAGTTGCTATAGTTATAAAAGGTTCCCGATGTTGACTTTTGCAATTTCCTTGCAGATTGAGGAGTTGAACAGCGAGTTAGATTTACGACTTCATCTTCATGAGCCGAGAGCATCCAGAGCTGAGCAGGATGTGCATAATGTTAGAGCAGGTTAGTGCAGCGTAATACTTTACAAACGATTCTTACTGCCGACGATTTTTACAAGCTTAAGATTGCCCAGCGTCATAGACCATTTTCAGAAAAGGCTGGCCTACGTTGACCTTCTTTTCCTGATAACATGGGGGGAAGGGGGGATTAGTACAGAAGTGTAGCTGATGCCTGCCCTTTATGAGTGAGGTTTATAAAATGTTCGATAGCAAATTAGTGAAGGAGCAGTCAGAAGGCCCATTTACCCTTCTCCTGTTTTGCGTCGTATAAAGCCACTAGTAAAATTGCCATTGCCCCTGGATGAGTGGAATGCAAAGGTTACCGAAGGTTACCGCCAAGTTTTTCGTCAGTTTTTTTTTTTACGGTTTGCCGGTACTCTTTTGTACAATTAGGTGGAGAGGGGCATCGTGAGAGAAAAGTGTCTTGCCAAAGAGCACGACACTGACTCGGCCGGGGTTCAAATACGGATATTTCGATTGGGTGTCCAGCACTGTAACCGCCGGACCCCCCAGAATGCTTGCACACTAGATAATTACCTAAAATAGTGGACTCTCACTTTCTGACACACCGCTATTGCCGTGTATGACCACGGAAGAAAGTGTGAACATTTTGGACTTATAATGTATCGACGTTTTTCCCTATACCGAGGGCGGACAGTGGTAGAAACGTAAGCGAGTGTCTTTAGTTCACACGGGGTTCTTTGGGTAGGGTTTAACATCTTGCAGATTCTCGAGGTAAGCGCACGAGCTTCACTTCGCCAAGTGTTCCTTCGCACGTCTTCCTACCTCTGTACCTGTACATGAACATGCAAGCTTACAGGAGTCAAATCTCGTTTTTCCACACTTACAGCGGAATTGGTGATGCATCGTGAGCGGGTTGAACGTCATTGTAGAGGAGTTACTACCTCATTGAACGAGTTCAAAGCTAGGTTCCAACAGATGGTAGAAGAACACGATAAAGAGGTAAGATCAGTTCTTAATTGTCACTGCACCCTCTTGACTGCCACAGTACGTACGTCACTGAGCGTCTTTACCGTCGGTCATAATTAATCGTCAGTGGACGTTCTAGAGCTTCACTAAACGTCATTTAGTATCCGTCACTAAGCGTCTTTACCGTCGGCCATAATTAATCGTCAGTGATGAACTTGAGCTTCACTAAACGTACTTTACGGTCACTGGACGAATTTATGCTGTCACTAGACGTACTCCAACGACAACCCAGAAGTGATACACGTGAAAATTCTCCTTACGACTTCAATTCATCATGCTTTCAAAAGGTCCTCATACATTTTAATTATCGTCACTGAACCTACTTGATGAAAATCACGAACTAACTCCAATTCATATCTTTCTTTTTCCTACAGACGGACATTTTTAAACATTCTGTTCAAGAACTCGAAGCAACATTTACATCCGCGACTAAAACTCATGAGTATGTACATTTGCGTTTACTTCAAAGAATTGATGGAAATCCCTGGTGATTCTGATTTATAATTATTGCTGTCCTGCAGCCGTAGTTGTCTCCGCGCCGGCGGTGTACCTTATCCTTTTTCTTCTACGACATTGATTTTTATGTCTTAAAGCAAATGTTTAAGTATGTGGATTTATGAGATATGGCTTAACTAAAAACAAGCACAGCAACAAGAACCGTAACAAAAATACACCTTATACATAGGTCGGAGGTTTCAATGCCGATCATGAATCTTTTAAAAGAATAATTTTTTTTTCTCAGACTCTTGGTGATACAAGATCAAGTAACTGGGCGGGTTGAGCAAGTAAGATCTTCTTTATCGCTAATGTTGATTAACTGATGAGGGCAATTGTCCAGAAAAAAGTTGAAAGTTTAATCGAAATTCTACTCTTCAAGGTTTCCATGGCAGGTGTCATTCACAAGTCGTCTGTAGTTGTAAATTGCAATCTTTGCCAGACTTGAAGCAATAAAAAACGACGCGAGAAAAAAAAAACCGTTAGCCCCAATATTCCTGACCCGCTCTCTATCGTTCGTATTTCCGCCCTTGAATCAGAGATCTGTATCCTGAAAACTCACACATTAAGTTCATTAATTTCTGTTCGAACTGTGTCGGTAGTACATGGATGTGATCAGAACTTCCCTCAGAAAGTTCCGTCACGATCTGGACGATATGCTGAGCACTCTACGGAATTCAAATGCAAGATTCAGGAAGACTTTCAAGTAAGATTTCTGTTCTCGTTGTGATAAAGCTCAGCTAGAGATTAAGTACCATGTAATGAAGTCCTTGCTTGTAATCCACGTCGAAACTTTAGTGGAAGGAGACACAGTTAGAATGAGTCAGTGTCGTTTTACTCCAGCAGACAAAGCCGTAAGAATAGGGACCGTCTCATGTTTTACTTACCCCGATGAACGGTAAGCTTAATTCTTTATAAATAAGAGGTCTGAAACCCTTGTTTATCTCCTCCGTCTGGTCGCGCTCATTTTTTCGGTGTTCAACACTTTGACGAGAACCACGACAGAGCAAATTAACTTAGCGTAACATCCTGAGTGGACTAACGTCGCTCTGACAAAGGGCTAAAGCTCAAAACGTTAGGTCTAAAAACTCTATGGTGTTCAATTGAAATTATCAACTTAGTTGATAATTAACAACTATTCATCGAAGTGGAGGTGAACAGTTGTTTTAGTATATACTAAAACAGTGAGATAATATACACCACCTTCGTTAATTTGAGAGATTTCTTCGCTTGTCACGGACGCAAACCGGGACGCCATTTTTCCCGAGTTTTTCGGAGGTAAATAGCAAGGGATATTCGGAGTTTGACTAGCCAATCAGAACGCTCCTTCAACGCTATCCATTGTTTTAGTATATACTAAAACCAAATATTCATGTATTACTCCCCACCGACGCAGTACCACAGTTTCTTTTTTTTCGAAACTTACCCTCTTAATAACTTTTGTTTCGTTGTTTTCTTCAGGGTATTCTCTGATGGTGGAAATTTTTCGACGGATGAAGTAGATGAGTACAGAAAGAAACTAGTGAGTACCTCACCTGTCATCAGTCTTCTTTTTAATGAGCTCTATCTGTCTTTGGGCGCACTGACTCTTCACTACCATTGCACTACCATTTCAGGAGCGTATGGCGAGTAAGATCGACTCGTCTGAAGGATCCTTCATGGCTGAATTAGAGGGAATGGAGTCAAAAAGACTAGAGGCAGCATGTGACTATGCTGGCAAGCTGGAGGATAGGTAAGAAATGGATAATGAATTTGCAAATTCATTGACGGATAATGAACTTCAGTTGTACATTGAATTATGAACGTCCTAATCGGAATCTCTTGTTTTCCAAATCTTCGGTGTCGTTCTTTAGTGTTTCTGGCTAACCATTATCTCTGAGAATCCATAGTAGAATTATTAAGTAGTTGGTGCTGGGACTTTAGGTATTGTCGACTCAAATCTCGCCTCATGTTGAGCAGTAGGTCGCTTACTTCAAGTGCACATTTTACTGGGGTATTTGTCAAAATCTTCCCACCAGTACGTAAACTTGGAAAGAAGTTAAAGGGCTTCTGTGCTCGTTTCTTGGCACCAACACCTTTTAAAGTAATCGTGACGTCTACTTGCACGTTTTCAGTTTGAAATTATGCGCTGTGATAATGTGCAATGAATTATTACAGAAGGATCTTAAATTTAGTCATGAATTCAGTCTAAGGAAAAAAATTGAAAAGAAAATGGCATAGGGAGACCAACTTCAGATTCCAAAGCATTTCTTTGTGCTAATTGTTGTCTCGTTCTTTTTGTTCGGGCTCAGTCACTGCGATTACATTGGTGAAGTTAAAGGGGAAATTATGCAGTGGCATTTTACCGATAGATAAAGATCATTTAAAGTTCCAATTTTCTTCTTTATATGTTTGTTTGTTGTTTGCTCTTCTCTTTAGATTTAAAAATCATTTGTTTGACTTAACATTCATGGAAAAAGTAACAAGGTGGCTCACAAACACGCAAGTCAAAGTCAAAAGTGAGGTAAGTTACAGACTAAAAGGACACAGTGATGTTAACTCCCTTGTTTAATAATTTTTCATTACATATAGACACAACTTCGCTCTACAGTTAAATGTCGTCCTGTGTTTCAGGTCGCATTTAGTAATTCTCAAGCGAAAAAGCTCGCAATTTATTTGTCCACCTTTGAACGCCACATTGATGCAGTTGAAAAGCCAAATCTTGACAAAGAGGTGAGTATCTTAATGAAAGTGTATTGGTTTTAGTCCCGCTCAGTGTCAAGTTTCGAGTCTCAGGTCTAGTATCAGTCGTGTTACTTGCTTGATATTGGCGCTGCTCGGAGAAATAGATTCGTCTGCTCAGTCAAAAGAGTATAACACAGAAGCGTCTATATTTATTTTTATTGTCTGAAAACAAGCTGCGGTTTATCAGCCGACCGATCAGAAGCAAGGATGCATTTTTTTGCCAAAATATATTATTAGAGGTTTGGGCAGTTTTGCTTCATAAGAGGAAATGATCGACAACTGAAGAAGCTCTAGAGTGTTAAACAAATTCTGCTTTTAACAACCTTAGGAAATATATGAGAAGAGTAAGGAGAATATGTATACTGATGTTAGGGTTTAAAGGGTTAACAATCAAAGCCGATTACAAAGAGGATTTGGAAAGGTTACAGGGATGAAGATTAAAGCCGTGGTCTTAATTGGGGAGGTCCTGGATAAGTTATGGTAATAACTGATCTCTCCGAAAACAAACTTGGCCTTCGTTGTTCAAAGGGTGGACAACTCTATCCATGGGTTAAATCGCTATCGAGAGGATAAGTGTGAACAAAAATTACTACGCAATCCAGCGGATAGAGATTTACCCAGAGGATAGTGTTCCCCACCTTTCGAGCAACTGGAACCTGGACTACATTTTTTTGAAAAAATATATCGAATCCTACACCACTTAAACGTCGCGGTCGGTGAAAGCGAAATGCCAATAAATCCAGAAGATTTCTTTGACGATGTAAAATGGAAGTGACTTACACTTGTATAAGCTTAACAGCCGCGAAAATAAGGTTCTTAGTTTCCATAGAGATGAATCGATATTTTAACTTTTCAGTCCATCTGCTTTCAAGACAGTGTAGATATTAAAAATGTGAACGGCGTACCACTAATCATTTTGTGGAGTTCTGAAATCTGTGTCCGATTATGGGCACTAGTGTCTGAGTCTGGATGGTAGACACTAGTAGTGTCCTATTTTAGATTTTGATACTATTGTCCACTAATGTCCTATCTTTGACTGCTGTCTTATTTTGGATACTAGTGTCTGATTTTGGACACTGGTGCATGATATGGGACGCTATCGTCTGATTTTTGACATTAATGTCTGATTTTGGACATTACTGATTCGGACAAAAGTATCGGCAATCGCTTAGGTGTTTTTAATCTGATATAAGTAATACTCAACAAGTTTTCCTTGGTAGGGGCCGTTGAAATGTTTACTTTATGAATATGAATAGTGCGCAATTTTTCTCTTGACAATTATAGTGTTGATTGTGAGCGTACGAAGGATATTGAACATTTTATTCTTCATGAACTGATTTTTTTTTTACCGTTTTCCTCCACAGCAAGTGACAGCCCGTGATGTACAAAGCAGCTTGATCCCAATCCTCCAAACATTCCATGAGAGGTCATTGTACTTGAATTGTCTTCTAAACCCCGCCACGCCTAGTTTGGCGATTCTGCAGGCCGGCCTTAAGAGAAAAGAGGATAAAAAAGAAGAAGAGAGGAAGGAAGACAAAGGATCAAAGGGAAAACTCAAGTTAGTTGACATTTGTCAAAAATAGATATTCTCCTAATATTGTGTTTTCTTGAAAATGTGTGCTTTAGAGGTCTATAAATTACTTCTTTCGGATACCCTAGACTTTTTAAACGTCGGGAAAATTTAGACTCAATCAATCAATAAATCTAATCAGCGATAGCGAAGGCATATATATTAGAGTGGCTTGACAGGAGAGGCTTCTTGGGACACTTGAAGTCAGTAATCCTCTATGTTAATTTATGCGATCTTTCATGCCGAAACATCGTCAATTAATGGAAATCTATATGCGTTTTTCGTTCTGTAAAATCTTACTTCTATAATCAATTTTTATAATGTTGATTTCTGCACTTGCTTTGTGTCCGGTGTGTGGTGCTTGGGCTGATTGTGGTTTTGTTCTAAGTTTTAAGCGCGGGGTCTTCAGCCTTCGAGTGATCTGTAACCTTGCTTTAATTAAACGGCTTCAAGAGGAAGCCTTCTTTTCATGGAGCATTTATGGAACAGTTTTATTTCCCTTCTCTACATCCTTCTTTCTCTTGCTTTTCACGGAAGCTGGCGTAGTCTCTTTCTTTCGCATGATATGAAGTTCAAGTTTGAATGTCGTACTCTAAAGTCGTCGGGGTTTTGATACATTATCTCAGTTATGTCGCATGTAACCCTTTGCAAGTGTTCTCAGCAGCAGAAATCTCTGTATCTCCTTTTGTGTTTTGCCATCTTTTATTCTTTCTCTTTGTTTCATGTTCTTTCAATCCTTTAACCTTCTTCACAGTACTTCTGTCGATGTTATCGCGGAGGAAAAACTTGAAGATCTGTATTCAGACTCCAGTGAGGATGAACTGTTAAACGTGGCCCGGAGCCCTGTTGTAGCAAAGACAATCTTGTCGTGGCGTCGTGTGTACACCTTTCCTTCTCCTGAGAATTTTCGTCACTTTATTGAGAGTCCTTTGTCACCTACACTTTCTGAAGGAAAGGTTTCTCCAAAGTATGTCTGAAATCCGTACTAACATTCTTTTGAGAACTTTTCTACTTATTTTTCTCCGCTCTCTTTCTTTCTTGTTGGAGGTAGTCACGATTTACCTAATTGTGTAACTTTTAAAGGTTTCAATTCTAACCCCCTTAAATTGGAAGTCTTCATGAAAAAGATAAAAGCTAAAATGTTTTGCTTTTGCCTCTGTTTTGTAATCTCGTTCTTTCTCTGTTTCTTGGGAGATATTTTTCTGTTGAACTCGTATTTAAACTTATTTGTACCATTGCTGAGATGATTTTCAGAAAACCTGTATTTTTTTTCGTATATGGAGTCTTTACGATGTAGAGATTGTTAGAGAGGGGGAAGGCGTATTGTTGAATATCCGTGCGTCAGTACTATGCTGATATTACGCGGGAGGATTACAAGGACACAATCATCGACCAATCAGAGTGCGCGTAACACGACCCCACAAGTCTCTGGTTTTAAATATTTATCGTGTTTAAGTGAAGTCATTATTATTATTATTATTATTATTATTATTATTCAGTTTAAAACTTTTGTATGCTGTATACAATAAGAATAGTATGACGGAGCGCATGAGCTTAGCCCGTTAACTATGGTGAAAAAAAAAAAAAACCCTCGAGAAATAAAAAGAATAGGTATTTCGGGTATCCGAATCTAAAATAGTCGTTATAAAATCGTTAAAAACGTATTACTTATTTCGGCTATGAAAGAGTTAATCAGTGACGATCACTTCCTAAGTTTCAAATAATCCACAGAATTTTTGAAGGCAAAGAGTTAAATAGAAAGCGATGTTCATTGTTCATGTTACAACTTTAAATGTCCGAGAGATATTTAGTGTTCCCGAGATCACAGCCTTCTGCATATTTTGAAGAACTCCCTTACTCTTGTTTGCGACCAACTCCTTCATTTCGGCTTCTTAGTCACGACACCATCCCCCTAATGCGTCCATTATGATATTATATTGTTTCACTTCATATCCTTGGTACTTATTATTATTATTATTATTATTATTATTATTATTATTATTATTATCTNTATGTCTGCTATTTGATCAATGGGTACATATATTTGAGTTTTGCTCATTTTCTTACACTTTTTTACAGTCAGTTTTATTCCTTAGTGAGCGTTCTTAACTGCCTATATAGCCAGACCATGTTGTTATTTTGAAATAAAACCAGCTCTAACCTTTCTTTTGACTAGCTTTTTTGATGACAAGTAGTGAAAAGATAAGAACTATGTCACAGTGCATGGCTGGCGAGTGAGTGTATGGATACGTGTTTCTTCCATAACTACAATCGATGTGGATTATGTCAAGAACAGAGCATGGACATTTTTGTGAAAGAGTAGTGGATTAATGCTGATTTTTGATCAATGATTGTCTCTAGCTTAGCCACAAGCTTTCAGATCAGGATAAACAGTCAAGACAGAGGACCATTTGGTGAGAAAAATCAAAATTTCCTATGTCTTCAGGTTCTGTATCTTACTTTGTTGTATGCTGATGTAATTTTTCAAAGAAAATGAACTGTGGCTTTCAAAAACCCTAGATCAGCGGTATTCTGCTGCTTAGGTTCGTCTACATTACCATATACCGACAGTATGGACGAGAGGAAAAAACACCACTTCGCGCTAAAAGAAAAAAAAGAGACATTCTGCAGAATGAATGAGATGAGTAATGATGCAAATGATTTTGGTTAACACCCATGGTAACTTTCTTAAGATGCAATGCGAATTAAAATTGCGAATGAACCTCTAAGGCCTAGTTTATACGTCGCGCTACTGTCGAATTTAACTCAGACGAATTTAATTCCATTAAATTCGTCGTTCCGTTGACGAAAACCGTGGCGTGGTTTTATGCGTCGAAATCAATAGGATCGAATTTAATTCTCTTCCCAAATGCAGTGCCTTGGGTTGCTGCGGGCTCGCCAAAATAAATTGAAATACATTAAGAAAATGTATGCATTTCTTTCAACGCGGCGCTAGTGCGACGTTAAAATTGAAGACGCGCTACCGATATTTTATCCGTCTTACCAAGACGGATAAAACGTCAAGGACGAATTTAATTTACCAGACGAATTTAATTCGTTCAGACGTCGCGCTATCGTCGAATTCAATTGCTTGTGGGACCTTGAATTAAATTCGTCTGAATTAAATTCGACTGTAGCGCGACGTATAAACTAGGCCTAAGACAAAGAAAGTCGAAACGTCTTTCGAATGTTTTATTTGCTGGTGTCAAATAAAAAAGCGAACAATGCCTTCGCATTAGTGATCCGAACAAATATTTCAACCAGATGTATGGAGTTTAGCATTAGCTGGTTCAAATGGAGTACCATTACTACTTTACCATTACACTCTTTCAGTGATAAAATATGTAAATGTACAATGACATGTTGCATTACAATAATATATAATAATAATATATAATAATATATAATAATAATATATAATAATATATAATAATAATATATAATAATATAATATAATAATATATAATAATAATATATGTGCGATAGACAAAATGATAATGATTGTCTTATTCTGAAGGAATTCGCAAGAGCAGTTTCAAAAAGGTAAGGCCGTGTTCAGGAAGAGGACTCTTTTCTATGAAAAAAAAAAAGAAAAAAAAAAAGAGAGAAGGAGCCTTGGAATTGTGTGGTTCTTTGTAGAAGGGGGTTATCAGAGTAAACTATTACTTCTTGTAAGTCAAATTTCAAATTATCTAACATTAATTACCCATTTATTTATTTGTGAGCAGTCGAAAAGTAAGTGCGTCCAGACGGGATCCTCAGGGACCCAGATACGACAAGAAATACCTGGTGTTTGGTGACAAGATGGAAGAGGGAAGGTATAAAAGTCATTCGCTTGTAAAGTTTGTTCAGTCAGCCCGAAATTTCATTTACACAGTAGCTGATGTATATTTCATTGGCGATTTATCAGCGCTCTTCTCGCGTGGTTTTTTTGTCATAATTTATTCAATGCTCTATTTGGTGTCTGTAATAAGGAACTAGTTTGGTATAACGTTAAAAAGTATAACCGCACGAACCGGGTAGCTCCAAGTTACCCCTATCTCTAGAGCTTCTCGCGGTTTTCGGAGTATTAATCCACCAGGAGAATTGCTACTCCCCCCCCCCTACCCCTGGGTAAGATGCAACTTCATCGCAAGTCACAACCAGCGTATTGTCCGGTTTTTCACATAGGTCGCTGTTATCTATGTATACTCCTGGGTGGAGAGAGATCGCACTTAATGACGTGGATAGGGCCCAAACTTCCTCGACCAGGGCCCAGCTTGTTTGTCCTCGTTTTACCTGTGTAAACTTGGGCGTTGAAAAAAGCTCAAGTCTATGCTTTTCTACAGCTACCAACAATGTAAAAGTAGTTTTGATAATCGTAGAAAATCATTCATAAGAACAATGCACTGGTTCGTTACCCTGATGAGGTGTATTTACGAGTGTGATTTTTCTTGTCCCAGGTACTTAATGGCTCGTATCAGAAACACATTGAGGGAAGGCCTGGAGGGTTTATTGGCTACTTCTGAGGTATTTCCGAGTTTTATTCTGGCACATTTACTCGAATCTTTTACATTTAACATTCGCTAATTTTTCCACTCACATTCGCTGCTATTTTGCTTCATAAGATGTATTATCGCCAGAAAGGCCAGCGGACTCCAACTCGGCCCCAGGCCATTCATGAGAATTTTGATCTGTGCGCCGAAGCATTGGTTCAACGGTTGACTTCCTATAAGACTCAGGCTGAGGAATATCACAACTCATGTATTCAAGGTGAGAGAAACTGAGTGTAAAGAGAGACGTCTCAGCTAAGTATCAGCTTACGGTCAAGAGTTTCTTCGACGTTAAGCTTCTGATTGAAAACCATTCCCAAACCGTAATCCATTTCTAAATTGTACTGGTCATGTCTCAACTTAATTGGCCACGTGAAAGATTTTGGAGCCAGTTGTCGATATTTTTTCTAAGATATGTTTACCCAATTAATCAATTGATTAATTAATCAATTAACATTAATTTTTACAGAACTTCGCACCCAGATGCAGAAGTTTTCAGTAATTTTAGTTCACCTCCCACCCCTAGTGGTGCAGATAATTGTCACTGATCAGGTCAGGGACTTGGAGAAAGAGAGGAAAACATTAGAGGAAGACTATGAAGTCAGAGTTCAAGAACTAGAGAGGAGAAAGGTGAAGTAGGATAAGAATTGTTCGCAGCTATCGCAATGAATTTACTGGATCGCCGAGAGCGTACCTCGCAACAGCTGCTGGCTTTGATTGTCTCGCTCTTGGCAGCTCCGCTCCCCTCCCCTCAGCTTATCATAGAAATCTCCCAAGAAAAAGACACAAGGCAAACTGTTATACTTGCTACACAAGTTGTAAACATGTAGAATTAGACTAAACTTTATACGTGGTCATCTTCCCTCTGTTTGTTGTTGTTGTTGTTTCCTTTGCAAACATGTTTCCGTGATGAGTGGTGTTCATTTGCTTGCACATTTTGCAGAATTTACATCAATCTCAACTGCGACCATCTTTGGGCCATCCACACAACAGGACCGAGATGGACACATTGTGTAGCAGCGAGGAGAGAAGAAGACAGGAGGCCCTGGATGGAGCTAAACAACATGCAGAGGCATTAGCGGTGAGTCATCATCAATTCCGATTTGTAGCTCGTTATTAGACCGTGCACAGTTGGTGATAAAAGCAGAGAATGTTACTCATTTTTAAGCCACTAACGTGTGATGTTGTAATATCTTGAGAAATAAGATAGATAACAAGAGAGGATCAAATTAAAAGACTGACTCCCCATTTACAGACACCGGGGTTATTTCTAAGGTACCCCCCTCCCATGGCCTCACGTGGTAGATCACTTCCGGTTTCCTATACCCAGGGGGCACTGTAAATATCCAATCGTGTGCCTGAAATTTTGCTCAGATGAGCATCCTATGAGATTTCTTATCCTGTTCCACTGAAACATGTTATTAACATCCCTTTGCTTTTTTAGAAACTTGAAGCTCAGTTTGCAAGCTCGTTTATTGAGAAACTAGCACAGACTTGTGAGACCATGTTACTACAGTTTGATGCAGTTCTCTCCCTTGAAGACGTCGAAGTGGCAAGTAAGTTTGATGTACACATGTATGATTTTCATATATTGAAATTCATCGTTATTACTTCGACGGGTTTCATACGAACCAACACAATGAGCAGCTCCCAGGTGGCTTGTTAGCTCAGTTGGTAGAGCAATGCACCGGTATCGCAGAGGTCATGGGTTCATATCCCGTACGGACCTGAATTTTTTTTTCATATTTCCACAACTACATAAGTAGGATTCATTACTGCAAAGATCGCTTTCATGCATTTCCTGAAACCACAGTACACATCTATGATTTTCATATATTCAGATTCAAGTTTGATGGAATTTAAAAATCTATCTCTTGAAGAAGCTGGAATAAAAAAAGACAAACGGCGCTAGTCGCTAATTTATCATGCTCGAACTGAAATTTACTAATTTGGTTTTTACAGAGGTCGAACCCAAACCAATGAGCACCAAAAGATTACTCAGAGAAAAATTGGTCGGCGATGACGACGGAAAAGGTAAAAAAGATTTATTTGATAAGCGTATGCGTTAGTATAATATACTTAAGGTAAATCTATCATAAATTATAGCTCACACGTTCGACAAAAAAAAAAAAAGAAAATCAGAACCTTATTGACTATGCTTTTGATGATGGGATCTGTTGTTGCAGATAAGTTAGCGCCTTTCCCGTCTGGTGGTACATCTTGGGAAGGACTGCCAACGAACGAACTTGTGCTCGAAGAACCAATTGACAAGAAGAATAATATCCTTTATTTATCTTTAACTAGATTGGTCAAGTCAGTTCTTTTTTCCTTTTCTAACAGTCGGGCTCGCATGAATGTTCTATTGTTGATTGAGAGGTTTCCGTTAGATCACGGAAACAGAAGGAGTGATAAATGACCTGCATTTAGTGCTTAAAAAATTACCTTATTGTTTCTATCGTACTTGAAACGCTCAGAAAACAGAGGGTTTCTGTAATACTCCACGAAATAAGGGAAAATATATAAATTAATCGTGAAGTTAGCTTTTTGCACTGTTAGTTTCGCCAGTTGGTATTAGTTCTGTACAAAAATTTAGTATGATTGATAAAGTTACGACTTAATTTTTCTTTTATTGGTTTGAAACCTGCAAGAAAAAACACAATTTTCTTTAACTCTTAACCACGAACTCCCACTGTAAAGACTGTTAAGACAACGCAAGGACACGTAGCTGTAATAAAATCCCGCAACAAAGCATATGAGGTAAGATTCGTGTCGATTTGCAGAAGATTACAAAAGCAAAAGTCATTGAAACTGTTACAGCATCTAAGATCTCAATAGTAATTCTCCTTACTGTAGGCGACACAATTCTTATGATTTTGGTTCAGAGAATTTGGTATTGGTACAACTAATATTCCCTTGAGATAGAATAAATATATGAAAATCATATATTGAACTGCGGTATTTGATACGTATGATGCACGATCCTCGCAGTAGATAGCGCTATTTAAGCAATAGCGAAATTCAGACCTGAAAAAAATCAGGCCTGTACGGGACTCGAACCACTGACCTCTGCGATACTAGTGCAGCGCTCTAACCAATTGAGCTAACAAGCCAACTGAGAGCAGGCCGTTAAGTTGATTCGTAATGAACCCGTGAAAGTGATAAATGAGATAGAATAAATATATGAAAATCATATATTTTGAACTGCGGTATTTGATACGTATGATG